GATCAACAGCATTTTTTTCTCAGTGTAGAATATAAAAATTGTTTACAGCATTGCTCATCATACTTGAGTTTCCTGCAATTATTCTTTGACGGTTCAATAAAATTAGTTTCGGGTCTGTGTCTAAATTTTAGATGTTTCAGCAAAATCGTTTTTTCCGTGTACAGTTCTGTGGTCATTCGCGCGAGTAAATTACAAAACGACCGCAACCGTACAAGATTGCACGCTTTGAAATGTTTACAAAAGTCCTTCGCGCGTTACCAAAATTTGTACCGCGATATTCTCGGAAAGTGTCCGTGAAAGAGCGAAAAATCTTTACGGCGCACCTCGCTCTTGCAATTTCACGTGTTTCGTCTCTCGTCTTTATGTTTTGATGCCGCAGTAAAGTCACCATAAATTCCTCGCCATTCCTTTTTATTTTTTTTCAAAATGTCAAGAAAAGGGAGCACGGATATGATTAGTTTTATCGAAAGCCTTCTCACCGTCCAATTCGGAAACATCTTTCTTCATAAAGCGAAGACAGAACGGATAGTGACGTGTCTTGGAAAATTTCGGAGAAAGCGCACGAAAATATCCGCTCGCAACTCATCGCGTTTTCTGCTCCTTCTAGCAACCTAATTACGATAATTATATAAAAACGTACAGTGCTATAAAAACAGAGAAATTCTCAGTATTGAGGAAAGCTTTGCTAACGTTTATTGTTCAAATCCTTGCAAAAATTATTATAAAAATAATTAAAAAATACAACGAGAATATTGCTGATTTCTGTACACATTTAAGAACATTTAGCATAGCAAATATTAAGTAATGAAATTAAATTATTACAAGAAGAGAATATGTATTTTAAAAGGAGGAAGCTCCTATTAAGGAAAGACTTTTGCTGACATTTATTGTTAAATTCTTTTTTTTTTGCAAAAACTGTAAAAAATAATTAAAAATATTAAAAATAACTACAATGAAGATATTACTGATTTCTTGCGTTTTTACAAATAATAATAAAATTAAATTGAACTTTACAAGAAGTGTATTGTTATAAAAATGTTATAAAAATAAAAATGAAGAGCTTCTCAGTGATAAAGAAAGACCTTTTATGATATTTATTGTTAAATCTTTTCTCTCACAAAAATTATTAAAATATAATAAAAATTTTCCCAACTGTTTTCCACACAAAAATTTTCCAAACAACTTTACGCACGTTTTTTTTTTCAATTATTTATTATTTTCGTAAAAAGGTAGGGCTTTCGAAATTGACCCGTCAAAAAGATTGATTTGTCTTCCGTTCACGCTTTGTAGAGAACGATTCAATTTAGATCACGCGAGGAAAAGATCCGATTACGCGTTCACCGTAAAAGCCGGATTAATTCTATCCGACGAATTCAGGAATAAATTCTCATACGCGTCCGAACGTAGTGTTCGCGTTATTTCCGATTTATTTCCGAATGATATTTCAAGATCAAGTACAAGCCGGCCACCGGACTATTTTCAAGGTAAAGTATTGCCAATATGAACTGCCCCGTATTTGCCAATGACCTGGTCAAATTATCACGTGTGCTTTCTCGAAACGACCGTGAACTGGAAACTGGGCTTTTTATTCGCGAAATTTAAGTAATTTTGTTGGCGAAGAGAAATACTGTTATGTGCACTCGACGGCTGCGGTGGTTCTTTGTCGATGTTACGAAAGTATAAGGGTTTCCTTCGACTCGGTGAAGTTGTGTTGTTGGGTCTGTGCCAAGATAGGATGCGCTCGCCGTAACCATTTTAGAGTTGAAACGTTTTTGGGAAAATAAAACATTTTACACTTGTTTCCGCGCTTGCGGACGGTCTGTCGATGTTTTAACGGGAGCAACCCGTCGAAATGGAAATGAGAAACGTTGGAACGTGCCAAAATTATCGAAAATTAACGCTTCGAAACATAAAGAAACAGTCTATACATTGGACATTAACGAAATTCTTTCTTTTTTTTTAAGGCTAAATGTAAATTCCGATTAACCCTGGTGGTTCTTCTCGCGTGTCATCGATCAGCGTGCTACATAAATTTTCCCAAGAAAAATGTACGGAAATCAAGATAAACTTTACACGCTTATATTAATATATCTGCAAAAATCTAAAGTATAAAATCCTACGACTATATATCGAATAGGCTTATTCATTACAACTTGCACGTGATACATGAACACGTTCTCATTAATCAAGTTAAGCGTTCTAACTTATGCATAATCTTAATTTTACATATATAATTATCTCTCAATATTTTCCATTTAAGATAACCGAACGCATAAGAGCCAATATCAATTTATGCAATTCTCCGTCCTGCCAATTAGCCACCAATTTCCTGCTAATCACTGCACACCGATGGCTGAACGCAGATAAAGTTAATTCTTGAATATTAGCGTCGTCTTTCCTTCCCCCTCCCTTAACCCCTTTCCATCTTCTCAAAGCGGATATCCGCAGTCCCGTCTTTCTTATTTGACTTCGCGGAGATGAGCAACGAACGCGCGGCGTAAATACGACGCGAGCGTATAGTCGGGGAGAAACTTTTTCCAGATGCGGCTGAGCGATAGGGAGTATCGCGGGATGATAAGTGAGACAAGTGGTACCGGCGGATACACAACGAGCACGGGGATTGCGAAGTCTCGGCGAAATGCTCGAGGGGGCCCCCGGCTTTATTTATAACCGGCGCGATGGGGTCTCTCGTAATTTTTTCCCCCCCTCCTTCGAGTCCCATTAATGCCACGAGCCGGCGGGCTCGGGTAAGCGAAACGATCGAAAACTCCGCGGCAATTAACGCACCGGCCACTTCAAAGGCACATCCGCTTTGATACGACCCCCCTCTCACCTCACCCCCTTTTTACGCCTCCGTCGGCGTACGTTGTTTTCGGCGTTACAACGTGCGCCTCGCCGTCACTCGTACCGCCGAAAATCAGCCGGGCTAGGCAAGAAATTAGGAGGCCCGTAATGCTGTTTGACGTGCGCGCTATTCTATTTTAGCGTTTACGCACTGCGACTGCACTTCGCCGCCACAAGCGAAACCGCCCGGCAGTAAACGGAGCGGATAAGCGCTCCTCAGAAATACCTGAGGGCGAAACGAAGCGAGGTACGTACACCACGGATTTCCTCGCCTCTATCGCTTTTGGGATAGGATGGATTTACATCATCGGAAGCCGGAACCGTTCCGCTCGGCAAGCAGGATCGCGATTTCAAAATTAAACGGTCCCACACTGTTAAATTTATAACGTCTAATTATATCCTATTTGAATTATTCTTAATCATTTCTATATAAATCACTATGCGCTGCTCTTATTCAATATGTCGTTATTTAATTAAAACAATGGAGTTGAATAATTTAACTCGAAAAATGTCGTAAATTTGATTAAATTTGACTCAAATTTAGTTTATTATTTACTAAGAATATACATTACATGGATGTTATTCATTTTGAAACTAGGTAATTCAACCACAGAAATGAATCGATTGATTTACATTTTGACACACATCTAGTTAAAAATGACAAAATATTATTTAACTTTAGGGATTATCTCAATTGATTTCTAACAATGCATAATTCAGGTTTGAACTGTGCTTTTAATAATTAATATCCATTTTTATCAATGTAGATTAATATCCATTATTAGATATCAAAGAAGCAACAATAATTCAATCCCCTTGAATTAAATATCATTTTGTTATTTTTTACTTCTCCGTGTTTAATATGTAAATTAATTCATTTCCGTGATTAATTTCAAAGTAAACTACGTCCATATTAACGTATGCACTTAGTAAATAACAAAACTAAATTTAAGTTAAATTTAATATATTTTTTTCAATTAAATTTGTTCAATTCCATTCTTTTACTTAAATTAACGACATATTGAGTAGAAGTGGTGACCTATAAAAATCTAATTTAAAGTAAGTCAAATGAGATATAATTTGACATT